TATTATTATTATTATTATTATTATCATTACAGATGAGCTGCTGGGTGGGCACAGCAACTCACAAATTGGATAGTAGGGCCCTAATGCAGCTTTGGCAAAGATGGCAGATGTGTAAAGCTGATGGAAAGAATCTGATTCACCTCCTTGACTATACAATAAGAATTATTTAAAAGGTGATATGTCACATCAACACTGAATCTCTGTTGTTGGTTGCTAGCTTAAGTTTCCTCATTTGACCCAGTTACATTTCAAAATATACAGAAGGTGAAAAGCCTAGTACCAAAAACAACCCCTTGTTTTTTCCTCATATTCTATTTTGTTTTCCCCAATTACATTCCACCTGTAGAAAAGTGTCATATATATACCCTGAGTTTTTGTTGACAGAGTTCCGCACAACACATGGCTCAATGAAGCACACAGAAAATAGTCAGTGCTTTCAGAAGTCAATACAAGAAATAGAAATTATCACCTGATGATCACAAGATCCAGATAAATCTACTGCAGGAGGGCTGAATGATACCAAACACATGTAAAATAAGTATTTGATTGATGTCACTGACTAATTTGTGGCTTTTTGTCATGATATTGAAAATGTACATGTCAAGTCAAAACAGAAATTACTTTTCTCACTAAAGCTGTGGATTGAAGGATTTATGAGGATTTACTGCTGGAAGTGGAAACAGGTGGTTGTACAATGCAGCAATGCACAAAATGAATTTAAGAACGGCTTGGGTGGTTTGCAGCAGCTTTAGGCAAATGCCTTCAAGTTAAAGAAACTAGACAGCTTAGGTATTATCCTTCCTCTATGCAAATTACCAAAAAGCTCATAGCCATGGTAGCACTTCATATCAAAGTGTGGGGGGAGGGGGAATCAATGTCTTTGCTGCATAGAGCAGTGCCATGGATAATGGATTTTTGGTAGGCAGCATCTAAGCTGGTTTTCAGACTCTTCAGTCCCCTCTAGAGTTACTCTAAAATATTACCCTCAATATGCACAAATATAACCTTCATGTGCATTAACCTCATGCAACAAAGGTTGAATAGCTTGCTAGAATATAACCAGTTATCACTTAGGGTAAGTTCATACATGCAAGTTCATCTTTTGATTTCCCATGGTCTATTAATAGTTGAGGACTTTCTCTCATTCAAGCCATCAGTACTGTCAACTGATTTACTTCTGTTCATGAGCCATTCATAGGAAGTTTTTAAAAGCAACATGAGACCGTTTCACCACACATTGCTTCTATTCTTGCAATCTGCTTGCAATTCTGCTGTTGTGGTGCCTTGTCCTCTGGCCAAGAAGTGGTGTCAAGGATCCTTAGGATTTCCTTAACATATTAGCCCTCTGAAGGCCTTCATAGCTCCTGTGTTGGTGAATATGGGAGAAAGGAGCAGGTAGCCCTGCCTTCTGATGTTGTGTGCTCCTGGCTGGGCACTCCTTTGATGTTCATGTGCATAGCAAAAATGTCTGCAGAGAAGGTGCCACTGTGCTCCTAGTTAGAAATATGCATGTGTCTATAGGATCTGGACACCTCAATCAACTGGGGTTTGAGATCCTGTGAAGCCTTGCATATATAGCTTTACACATGAAGGCTCCCTCCCTATAAGATGTCTGCAGTGTTCATACAGCTGTTGGGAAAGGAGTATGAGACTTGGGGCAGACCCATGCCTTGCTCTGGGTCCATCAGCAATTGCATAGGGCTGTTGTCACTCTCCTTTTGGAAAACATCAGTTTCACAGAACTTCGCTAAACAAACAGCACAGCTCTTACACCCCATCCCCCAATTTTGATCTAGTAGTCTTATCTCACAACAGCCTTCTGAATAAGAGATAATCTGACATGATTTTACATTGACTAGTATCTTAAGGGAAGCATCTAAAGGGAAAGAGTCTTGATCACCCTAACTGTAAACACTGTTTGCAGACTAAATCCTCAGTCTCTTCTGTAGGCATGCTGGCTATTCTCCTTTTGAAGAGGGACACAAAGTAGAAATCCAAAGTGTTCCAAGGCAAACCACAAGCAAACCTAATTATTGTTTTGTGCTGTATTTGGGCAAGGCATACTCTTTTCTTCCTGGTGCTAAAATGGAAGCAGGGAACTCATGTGCTACTGTTCTGCAACACTATCTTAAAAGATAGTTCTCAAAATAGGGAATGGAATATGAAGTAATGATGCTGATAAATTGATTACCTGCCATTCAGCAGGAGGTCCCAGGGTGGGTTACAACAATAAAAAATAAATAAATACTTAAAAGAAATTGTATTTACAGTGATACAGTTGGACCTGAAAACAAACATCTCATGTGTTAAAGGCCAAGCTAAAGAGGTGCATGATAGCAATAATTCCAATACAGTAATGGCATTTTTCAGCAGCAAATACAATCATAATCCTCATTTTGTCTTCTGGGGGAGGTTAAGGGTATATATTTGTTGTTATTATTGTTGTTGTTTATTAAATGTGTATACCACCTTTCATCCAAAGATCATAAGGTGGTTCACAACATAAAAATATAAAAAGAGAACACAAAATATATAACAAAATGAAAACAAACCAATAATTCCCCTCGCCTGGCACCTAAAGGTATGTAAGGAAGGGGAGAACATTCCACAAATGTACCTCAAAAAGGCCAGTTCTTGTGTTGCCACCCTCTGGACCTCTCTTGGAGGAGGCACACGAAGAAGGGTGTCAAATGTTTATTGTAGGGTCTGGGTTGGCTCATATGGGAAGAGGTGGTCCTTGCTTACAGTTCTAACTGCACAGCCAAAAGACATGAGATGCAGTCTCAAAAGAGCAAGTCTTTTTTCTCTGGAATACCCCTGCACAGACAGTAAGAGGATAGATTTGCTGCCTATGCAGTCCGCACTCAGTCCGCAGTCATCTGATTGGGTGGGTGGGGGAACTGGTGTAGCCAGGAGTGATGGGAGACTAATCAGGTGAAACTTTCGTGAGCATTGTATACATTGTATACAATACAGCAGGGCTGGGGAATCTCTCTCTCTTTTTAGCCCAAGGGACACATTTCCTTCTGGGCCACCTTCCAGGGGCCATATACCGGTGGTGGGTGGAGCCAAGAGCAAAAATGAGCAGAGCAATGAATGTGAATGTTATTTTTGCACAGCAGGCTAATTTATCCATACTCACACATCCTTCTCTATCCTCCACCAGGATAGAGTAAACAGGAAGCATTATCGGAGTTCAATGACATATTCTCACCAGGAAAACACTGAATGAAGGTGCAAAGCAGGGGGGATGGAAAATGTGACTCAGGAGGATGTGTGGCCTGGAGAGAATACCAGGTCAAGAGAACTGAAGTGCTGCCTTTGGCCCCTTTGCCTGAGATTCCCTATGTACTGTCATGAAATAAGTACAGTGGGTGATTTATCCTTGTAACCAATGCTTTAGTGGGCTAAAGTAGAAAGAATAAAGATCCTTTCAGACAGAGGGTTTTAAAATGATAATTAATCCAATCCAATCCCCAAACCAGGTATGTTGTCAGGTATGTTTTAATTAGAATACCTGGCCTTGGGAGATGAGTAAATGAGTCCAGATTTAGAATAGTAATTTTATTTTATCATTTCTTGTAAATACCAAAATAATGGAATATATGTCTTGGAGCGAACAGTCACGCCGTTTCATTGCTTAAGATTTTTTATTACCATCTCCCTACATCCATCTAAATAGTATTTTTCCTTTGTGGCATTAACAACTACTTGCTGAGAAGGGGGAAACAGGAAACTGTTCAGTTTAATTAGTTTGCTCATTTAAAAATCTCAAACTCATGCCCTGAGAAAATGCCATGATAGTTTGTCCCCAAAGTAGAATATTTTCTTATTTTCTACACCTATCTTCTCCTATTCCACTGACTGAAAATTTTTTAAGCTGTTGCTTCTGTGAGAGCATTGGCAGAGTGCTACAGTCATTTATGATTTCAGCTGCATTTTCCAGGCTGGACACAATGGCAGGGAGTTACAAGCTCTCACATAAATCAGATTATAGCCTATCAGTGAATTTGTGATGTGGACATCAATATTTGGTGTGGGTGATGGACTCATTGAAAAGGTAGCCTGACTCAGTCGTAAAACTGACAGGGGACAAGCCTCCAAGCAGAAGGATATGTGAAGTTTTTAATCCCCCCTCCATTCTTTTACAGATCATGGGGATAGTGTACTGTAATGTCTAGTAAGAATATAAGGAGAGCCTGCTGAATTAGGCCAATGGCCCATCTAGTCCAGCATCCTGTTGTTACAATGGAGGTAGCTCATAGCCATCATGGCTAGTAGCTGTGGATAGCCATATCCTCCAAGAATTTGTCTAATCCTCTTTTAGAGCCATCCAAGTTGGTGGCCATCACTGCCTCCTGTGGGAGTGCATGCCATAGTTTCACTATGTGCTGTATGAAGTTCTTTCTTTTATCTGCCCTGAATCTGCCAACAGATTATTTTATCATAACCAAGGAAATAAGAAATAAGTTCACAGCAGGCTTGAATGAAGAGAGGCACTGTCCTGATGCAGTGGGTCCCCCCTGCCACCACAGCCATACCAGCCTTCCCCCAAACTGGTGGCCTTTAAATATTTTGGACTACAACTGGGCTGATGGGAAATGGAGTTCAACTGCTTCTGAAGAGCACCTGATCCATGAAGCCTTATAAGCACAGTGAACAATGCACCTTCTCAATACTGACTGGGAGAAAGCCATCATCAGTGTGCTAATGACCCAAGAATCATACTAGAAAAGGGAGACCAGTTTTGTATTCCATACAATGACAGGACTCAAGCTGGGTAATATAAATACATAATGTTGTACTATATCTGTATTGACAGCTATGATTCAACACAGGGTTTTCTTTCTCTCCTTTTTTGTTTAGTGTCAAACAGTTCTGTTTTATACCTTCTACTTTTTAGAACATACTGTTATGAGTGGGCGGGGGGGGAACATGAGTCTGACTCATTATGTAATGACACCAAAGATAAAAGAATGAATCCCACTGTAAACACACTGGGATAGATCAGCTGGTAGAGTATCAGACTCAATCTCAGGGACATGGGTTCAAGCCCCACGTTGGGCAAAATAAAATAAAATCCTGCATTGCAGGATATTGGACTAGATGACCCTTGTGGTCCCTTCCAACTCTATGATACATGAATCTTATGAAACTCTATGAATGTTAGCCAACAAAGAAAGTTTCCCATGGAATATGTACCCAAAGGTACAAAAAAGCTTGCACCTGACTGTGACATGCAGTTTCTATCTTGGCTGTTCCACTTCAGAATGCATGTAAGGGTTCTTTGTTTGAAAGCACCACACCCACATTGCCCTGCCTATGCTTTCACATTTGGTTTCAGGCCTAGCCTCTGGTATTAATGCTCTCAGGGATATTTTTTGCCCTATTCTGCATGTGACAAGTGCAGTACTGGTTCAGTGGTGATGGTATGGCAGTGCTCACCTGATTTTCTGTCTCCCATGTCACTCCCGCTTACCAGAAGGTAGAGGAGAAGAGGTGATGCAGTGCTAAGGTTGGTGCAGGGCAAACATACATGCAAGTGTGCTGGACTGGCTCTTCTATATGCTTGAACTGCATCAGCCTTGCCACCATCTCACCCTCTACCTCCTGTAAGCAGCGACAACATGGGCACTGCGAACACTACCATTCCATCAGCTTTTGGACAAAGGCAATGTGGCTGCCTCTTATATGACCCAATAAAATTGTAGTGGTTCCTTACAAAAGGGTGAGCTATATCTGTGTGTAAGGGAACAATACTGGGTTTTATGCAACTCAGACCTACTCAGTGTAGACTTACTGAAATTAACAAGTAAATAAAAAGTCATGTTTATTAACTTCAATGGGTCTGCTTTGAGTAGGAATGGCATTGAATATCACCCACCATTTATGTAGCAAACCTTAAATTTAACCACTGGCATAACTAGTTAAGGAATCTCATAAAAGTGAATGAAAAGACCTGCATTTGAGACAAGCCTCATTGCCTGCAAGATGAGACAAGCCCTGTTCTAGATTAACAACTGGTCTGACTTAATATAAGGCAGTTCATTGTATCTTATGATTCAAGTATCCCACAGCCATATCCTTCAAATAATAGTGACTCCTTATTTGTTACTTTTAAAATATAGATAGCTTGTCTGACATTTTCCTAACATGAGATCTTTCTATCTCCGAGTATAAAACCCATGAGCATAATCTGGATATGTGGCAGTAAACCAGTACATTGAAACTGCAGGAAGCTTAAAGTAAGGAAATGTTTATTTAATGCTACACAGCCAGAGCACTTTCATAGTTACAGTCATGGGCCAATACAGGAGCCGTTGTGGGTAACCATATATTTATGGTGACCAATCAGTCAGATTCATAAAGAGTAAAAAAAAACACCCTTCTTCCAGTTCACTAAAATGCATCAATTTTCTAAAAATATCACCACAAGTGAAGTTGATCTTTCAGTGACATTGACAGAAAATCAACATAGCATGAGAGCATATGACTGTGCTGATAATACTGCGTAATAATAAATCCTTTAATAAACCTGAAGACTATTTCAGTGAAGAATAAGAGAGCAAACAGAGTAAGAGGGTGAAAAGAAAGGCTGATGAAAGCTAGTGTGATATAGTGGTTAAAGCACTGGACTAGTTCCTTGGAGACAAGAGTTCAAATTGCCACTGAGCCATGAAGGTAGCTCATTGACCTTGGGGAGATATAAATATAGTTCAAAAGTAAAAATAAAATAAAAAGGTGTATGCGTCGAAGTGAAGATAAGAAGAAACTCAATAACGTTACTCAAACAGTGGCATCCAAGTCACTACAAAGTCAAGCAATTCTACCCTCAAAGTGAATTGTAAACTGCTCACAGCATGTTACAGGGCATGCCATCCAAATATGGGGTAAATAATCTGCAGAGAACACAGAACAACCATGTTGGCTGGCTCCTCAAGGATGTGATGGATACAGCTGCCTTCATCATCATGTGGTAGGCATGAATGGTTCTAGCATGTGGTTCAAACACAAGTTTGGTCAGCTTCAGAACCTGATTTCTGCCACCTGCACTCTAGTCCTCATCCAGTCTGTTTCATCAGCCACTGCTTCTCAGAATATCGGAGAGCAGTGCAATCACCACAGCACTGGATTCAATCGTTGGGAATAATTGTATTGATGGTCACACTCATCTGTCTCTTTCATTGCAAAATAAGAGCCTTGACAGGATCATATGCTCTGTCCACTGGGGGGAAAACCCTACAGGCATAATAAATGTGATCACCACATGATGATGAAGGCAGCTGTATCCATCACATCCTTGAGGATGTGATGGATTCATCAGCCTCTGAGGACAGACTATCCAGCCTGGTTTTCCATTCTTGCAAGCTATTATGACCCCAGAGTCCAGCAGCAATCAAGACTCCAAGTCAGAGGCTGCAGACTTTCCAGCTAAAGAGTCAGATCAGGTACAGGACTCCTGGAGATCAAGAAATAACTGAGACTGATGAGCATAAGCTCCCAGAATAATCCTCTCAGACCTCCACAGGAACCTTTCCTTGAACCTGAGGAACCAAATACAGTCATACCTTGGAAATTGAATGTAATCCATTCCGGAAGTCTGTTTGACTTCCAAAATGTTCAGAAACCAAAGTGCAGCTTTTGATTGGCTGCAGGAAGCTCCTGCAACCAATCAGAAGCCGGGAAGCCCCGTCAGACATTAGGCTTCCAAAAACAATTCTCAAACCTGAACAGTCACTTCTGGGTTTGTGGCATTTGGGAGCCAAAAAGTTCGCGAACTAAGCTGTTCGAAAACCAAGGTACGACTGTAGCTCCCTTGGGATCTCACCAGCCCACCAGTGCAGGGAGCACACCAGATGGGAGGCTAGGGAATAGAGGAGCAGTGCCTGTCTTCAGGCAGGGTGATTGTCTCTTTAAGAACCTAGAGTTAGTCACAAGAGGGCTGAGCTTGTGAAAGGTATGAGAATAGGAGTATAAAAAATTCAATCTGCTCTCAACCTTTGTTGGTGCAATTGGCTTACTTGGAGCTATCCATGGTCCTGCAAGCTCTTTGTTTGGCCTGACCTCTGTGGGATCCAGCACTGGAGATCCATCACTGGAGCAGAACACAACACTGCTGGAAAGAGCCACTGTCAGACCAAACTTTACAAAGTACCAGTTAAGAAGCACTGACAGAGAGACAGACTATTCCCATTTTTTCCTTCATTATTACCCTCACCTATTACAAAATTTAACAGGAGTAGAAAGTAAATGGTTTATTTGATAAAATCTATACACTGCTTGATTGTAAAGAAACCTCAAAGCAGTTTACGTTTGTGTGTGTGGCCTTATTCTGCACTAGTAGCATCACATCGCACTGTTCCACATAGGCATGGTGATCCTTGGATTAACCTCTGCATATTTTACTGCTGAATTGGGGTCTTAGAATTGGTTCTTAAATGCTCTAAAAAGGTACATGTAAGAAAATCTACTGGGGAACATAAAGTGGGGTGCTATTTTTTTTAAAGTATCAAACTGCATTCCATTCTGTATTCCAAAGACATTTCGCACAGCAATCAGTTCCACTATATATACATCCCTCTTTTTCTAATAGAAAAGTGTCAGTTTTTAATACCCGTACAAGGCAAATATGTCAGGTGCAGTTATCACTTCATGCGGTGAACTAACAAGGAGGTTACAATGTGAAATGGCAATTGTTGGTTTTAAAACAAAAATACAATATTGGAGTCATCTACAATTCCTGGCACGGAGGAGATAAATTCTCCTAAGGAAAATGTTGTATTCTTTAATGTTTGATCTCTTTTTCTTAAGACTTTGTATAAAACATGCAGAATTGGATATGTAAAGTCAAGGATAAATCCATAACTAATTAGATTTGCTGGAAATTTATGTGCAGATGGAAGAAAAGAGAAAACATCAGCACAGAGGTGATCCTCACCAAAAGTACATTCAGCATTACAGCCTCACCTTGCATGCCAATGAGCATATATATTAATGTTGCAAATCAGAATAAAACTTGAAAGTTTGATTGGTCTGGTTTGAATCTCACAATAAGCCAAACTACGACTTCTCACTCAGACCATTTCTGGGGAGCAGTTCACACCACTTTGCTCCTGCCCTGTTCTTAGCACAGTGTGGCAACTGAGACAAAGTTTGGCTTAGTGTGCTGTCCCAACATGGAATTGTGGTTAAACTGTGACCTCATCAACCACAATCTGTAGTTAAGAACAAGGCTTGGCTACAGATAAAGATAAAGGAGGAAAGAGCTTAACCACACTTGTAGATTAGGACAACCTATTAAGCAAAACCTTGGCCTATCCGTGGCACTAAATAAGTTTTACTCAAACTCATTGAAATGAATGAATCTAAGTTGGTCATGTTTATTACTTTCAATGGGTCCACTCTGAGTTGGACTAGCCTTGGATACAACCCATGGTTAGTGTGGAAAGAGCTTAACCTTAAACTCAAGTTCCAATGACATGCCAAGCAAACCTTGGGCTTAGCAGCAACAGCAGCAAACAAACAAACAAACAAAAACACAGAAAGGAGCAAAGCAACTGCAAGCTCCTCTCTGGGAGCCAGTGTGGTATCACTTTGCCATGGTTTGGCTTACCATCTTGTATGAACTAGGCCTATATTTCTAATGGCATTTGCTTACCCTCACCATTAATTTCTTATAGGGAATTTATGTGTTCTCACATCTGACGTAAATGTTTATATATGCTTTTCTTCTGGCCTGTCTGCATGATCTTTTTGTGGATTAGGTGTGCTCTAATGCCCTAAGGCCATCAGCGGTTTTTTAGGAAAAGCTTTCCCAATAATTTCAGTGAGCACCTGAGCAGCAAAAATGAAAGGAATACAGCTCTTTCTTCTGCAAGATGCTCTGTTGTAAGAAGATGAAAGCAGAGCAGACAATATCTCACCAGAGAGATGCATGTGTTCCTTGCAAATATACAAAAAGTGTCCATACATTTTGCAATCACATGCAAGCTATTTCCAGGATGCATCTTGAAGTCTGAGTCTTTGAATAGCTGTAGGGCGGGGATTTTATTTTAGTGGTGCATTAA